CTTATAAGCACCTAACCCTGTTAGGTGCTGATAAGCTCAAGCCAAAAAGCTTGTCCTCAACCCGCACCGAATTGATATTACCCGCACCGAATTGATGTCGGCGAGGGATTATTATCCGCTCACACAAAGGTAATTTTTGATGGTTTCAAAAATTTTTGAAGAATTTCAATTCTTCATTTTTTATTGGATCTAATTTTTAGTCATCAAATTATTTAGGTTATTATGTTGTTATGATAATTAGCACATTACTTATTAAATTTTGACGATTCTCGAAAATCTTCATACAAGGGCCTATGGCTATGGCCAAAAGCTAATCACAAAATGATTCATCAATAAAAAATCAAACCTGGTGGTCCACCAAGCAATAGCGCCCCTAGCCACTGCTTTAATCTGACAATAAATAGCTAATAGCTCTTCGTTTTCAGATGGAGTGGGTGATGAACAGTGAGAACGAGCTTCGCGTTATCGCCGTATCGTTTGGTTTGGCGCTAATGGTACGTGAAGCGTTCCCATCACTCATGCACATACTCAAGGAATTCCGTTCACGACGTGCATGATATATAGCTTCGCTTGATTTATGATTATAATGGTATATCAGCCTCTGTGATTTTTGTGCATATCGATTTTTTGCTATGAAAGCAGGCAGTTGTCGGTTAGACCCTACGCGAAGGCGCTCAAGTACATCGTGGCGAGCCCCGAAAACTAAGTGGACCTATTTGAGCACCTCTTAGCGATAGAACGAAGTGACCCGTGATGAATGTAGCGGCAAAGGTCGAACCCTCAACGGCTCTGTCAGACTTCATTGAAGAATTATTTTACGAATGATAAAAATAGAGTATGTGTGGAGCCATGCTAAGTAGGGAGGTGGAGGAGGGGGGCAGGTGGGGCGGGTAGGTCTTAGCCAGACGTAAATACCTGCAAATGTTACGGCGATAGCCCAACCGTAACATTTATATCATTTATATTGATTTTTGACACTTTTGTCTTGCCAACCTTGCATTTCCGATTTCCGAAACTCTGTCACATTTTTATATCACAATTTCGCTGTTAAGCTTCCGACTCAAAACCCCCATACACCTCTTCTCCAGTGGCTTTTCACATATCATTGTATTACTTACCAATCTTTGTCATATGTGATTACAAAAGTAATAAATCACTTCTACTACTACTCTTTACCCAAAATATCTTCTTCACAACTTTACCTGCGAGTTCAAGTAACCCTTGAATTAGAATTCATGAGCCTTATGTAGCCCTCACAGCGGCGAGAACATGAGACGTATTACTCATTTTCGGCCCTAACGGGTCATCCAATTTCAACAGTGAAAGCAGTCGAGGCTCATGGCTCATTTCTCGTGTCGCTATTGAAAATAAGAACATTCAACCTCTAGAAAGAAACATTCGAGTTGCAAGAGAGATGCGTGCGTGCGAAAAGCAGCTGTCAAGTGTGTACACCCACGAAATGCTTTTGAAAGATTCTGCTGCACGGTACTACCGCTCAATAAAATCAATTACCTCCGCATTTTGATCAAACTTTGGTTCAATGTCTCGGCCATATTTGTTTATGTCCCGGCTAAATTTCCAGTCATAGCAACTAAAACAAAAAAAACTTATGAGTGAGTTATAAAACTAACCTGCTGTAGGAATTGAGTAATTGATGACTTCATACTTGTGAAGGATTTTCGTTTTTCAACAGAAATGGCAATGCAACAGCAGAATCACTGAAAGATTATTGGAACTAATCAACATAAATAAAATCGAAACAAAAACAGCCCAAAATTTTGAGAAAAAAAAGCGAAGGATGCAGCGAGAGAATACCAGACGCGTTTCACTGATCGTTAGAGAGCCAAGATACTCATTCACAACTTGCCGCTGCCGTCGCAGCGCTGTTTGTCTCACGCTCAAAATATTATTGTTTTGTCATTTTTTCCTGTTTTTTTTCATCTTCTTAGGAAAATGGTTTTGTCGCTGAGACACTAGGACGAACCGTGAAAGTGGATCAACGAAAGATTATTTTTCAAAGAGTGCCTGGAACTCCTACTGTGGAATAGGTTGAAATAGCCCAGTAACCGACAGCTGGACCGCTCGTACGCTCTGCGAACGGCAGAGAGCAGAGAGGTCCCAGCACGTGCAGTGTGATTGAGATGTACTATAGTACATTTTACTTACTTTGACGCGAAACCACTGCAGAAAACGCTGCTATCGTTCTCACTTCGCGACGACTCTGTCTGCATTCTGCCTTGCTCGCGCAACACGAGCGGCCTTCCTTCGTAGCCTCGAAATGTGCGCACACAAGGTAAGTGAGGGCGTGCCTGTTGGCATAGCTGGTCGAAGGGGCCATTATTGCCAGAATTGATTGCGAATAGGATAGCATACAAAAAAGTCCAAAATGGAGGTCACGAGAAAAAAAAACACGAAAAAGAGAAACGATTGGTAGATAGAAGTAGAAAGGAAAAAAGGGAGGAAAGCCGATTGATCGAAAACATGAAGTACTCAGAAACATATCTGGTATAGATTATTAACTTGCAAGGGAACTAAATAGACACAGCTTAGCAACACTTTACCACAAGGACGCCATTAGGTCCGTTTTTTTACAGCATAAATTTGCTATATTCCATGCAGAACAGCTACATAGCTGCTCATAGCAATGCCGTCCCGGAACCTAATGACCTCCATGACCAACGGCTCGATCCACAATATTTGTCCTATCAGAGATTGGTTTTTCCCAGTACATGCACGCTACATTCCTTCCGCTTAACCGTGCTCACTGGAAGAGATTACGCGGCGAAAGCTAGACCTAATGCGACCCCTCCCCCCCCTAGGGGTTGTTACAGTCTCTTCAGAAAAAGGTTTTTTTTGGAAACATGGCAAGTCGGGTCTATGAAGACGTAATTGAATCTTAGATGTCGCTCAGCAGCGCAAGTGCAAACTCGCCGCTACTCTCTTCATCGCTGATTCTCGTTAACGGAATTTGTTGCGTAACAGAGCTCTGATTAGATGTCCGCTGACCATCTACATGATCGGTAAGAGATATCGCTACATGTGTTTACGTTTACTTGTTTACCATATGTTTACTCCCGAATAAAAGACATATTATTTCAATCGGTAACCAGCAAAAATCGTGCCTTGGGTATATGTCTGTGGAGCGGGAAAGTCCCTGAGCTAGGCCTTGTTCCTGGCTAAACGCCACGATTTACTAATTCCCTCATAATTCAGTAAAGGTGGGTGCGCTGATAATTCTCGCTGAGTACATCCGTGTAGGAACTGAAGGGAAGTGGAGCGGAAAATGCGAGACAAGGACGTAATGAAGGCGCACGTTAAACTGCGATGCAGGCGGAAAGTAAAGCAATTAAGGCAGGAAACGACGTTAAGAATTACAAAGAAAAGCCATTGACTCCGAAGACAGTGAAGTGGACAATTATGACGAAGTCCACTTACACTAATGAGACATCCTCAGAGAAAAAGAGCCGTCAGAAAGACGGGCGTGAAAACTCCGCGCCGAGAGAAATTTTAGAACCCTGGAGAAGAATTGTACCATTTTTCTGAGTACGTGAACAAAAACCTTCGGAATATGGGAAGCTCAGGATGACTTAAAAAAGAGGAAAATTATATAGTGTTTAGGGATTCTTTTTTTTTTCGACGGGAACGTTTTGATCATTTTTTTCTTCGGCTTTCAATGCTTTAAATTTGTTATAGTATTAGAC